AATCATGTTCAGGGAGATGTGGGAGATAATGAATATAAAATAAAGCCAAGGGTAATTTTTTTAATGTACATTAGTGTTGCATTGCCTTGTGATCCTGATTTGTGGGGCCTTATAGTTTAGTTTCATTTTTCCTATGTAAATTGCCATATAAATAGTATCAAAACAGATAAATAACTCTCAAGAAGTCAAGAACTCTCAAATGAACAAGGGAGAGATCAGAGGAAAGAAAATATGTGTAACAGATAAAGACAGAAGTAACTCACAATACCAAAATAAAGAAAAGCAATCCACTTTTCATCAGTCTTGATGTTCTATGTATTATAAGAAGAGTGGAAAATAGAAATATTATCTGAATTATAATCTGATTTGTAGACACATTTTGAATTATGATAGTAGACTTACGTGGGAAAACTGGTAGATTTATTGCTTCTTACTGGATATATATATACATTCTAAAGTTGTAAATACTGATTATACACGTCAAGGGTTCAAAAACAAATTTTGCTCTTATATAGAAATTTCATTTTTTACCACAAGCTTATGTTTGAAAAAGAGAGAGACCTGCCCCAGAACTGCCAACTATCCAGCTAACCAGCACTCACCAAGACAATAAATAACCCTGCTCTGCTTTATTCATAATTGCTATTTACCCTGTGTTTGCTGACTTTTCTGACCCTTTCATTCTTAATCTTTCTTAACTTTAAATATAACTTCTGAAAAAATTGCTATCAGTATGCTGTTTGGGTAACAATTCTAATTCAGGAATGGTCTTGTTAGGCTATACAAGATTTGGAGCAGAAAAGTTTTACAAAACCTGCATTTGCATTACTCTCCACATATTGATCCACTGGAATTGTAACCAAAATACTGGTTAGTAATTGTAGGTTTTCAGAAAATTATGTTATAGATATTCCATTCATTTTCTTAATGGTGAAGACATCAAGGAAAAGAAGTAGCATTCTCCAGCTCTCTGAAATCAATCCTGATACATAAAGATGTGAGGAATGGCAGGACTTGATTTTAGTAGGCCCTTGGATACTCTCTCATGACATGTGCTGAGGGAATTGGCAGAGGCCATTGTGGGACCCCGGCACAGTTCTATGAGCACTCATGGTGCTCTGGCGAGGTGCCAGAGGATTGGAAAAGGGCCAACGTGGTCCCCATTTTCAAAAAAAAGGGAGGGAGGAGGACCCAGGAAACTATAGGCCTGTTAGTCTTATCTCGGTCCCGAGGAAGCTCTTTGAGAAAATTATCCAAAAACACATCTGTGAGGAACCAGCAGGGGAGATTATGCTTAGGGGCAACCAACATAGGTTCATTAGGGGAAGGTCCTGTCAGACCAACCTCGTTGCCTTCTACAACCAGGTCACAGCATCCTTGGACACGGGTATCGTGGTGGATGTAGTCTTTCTGGACTTTAGGAAGGCCTTCGACACTGTCTCTCACCCCATTCTCATCCAAAAATTAGGCGACTGGGCTGCCAATGTGAGGATGCAGCCAGTAAGGCCAACTGCACTTTGACATGCATCCACAGATGCATCATGAGCAGGTCCAAGGAGGTGATCCTCCCCCTCTATGCGACATTGGTCAGGCCACAGTTGGAGTACTGCGTCCAGTTCTGGGCGCTGCACTTCAGGAGGGATGTGGCCAGCATTGAGAGAGTCCAAAGGAGGGCCACTCGCATGATCAGGGGGAAGCAGGGCAGGCCCTGTGCGGGGAGGCTATGGGACCTGAACTTGTTCAGCCTCCACAAGAGAAGGCTGAGAGGGGATCTGGTGGCTGTCTATAAATTTACCAAGAAAGACCAGTGGGGAATGGGAGAAACCCTGTTCCCCTGAGCACTACCAGAAGTAACTAGGAATAATGGCCATAAGTTGACTGAGAGTACGTTCAGGCTGGACATCAGGAAGCACTACTTCACAGTCAGGGTGGCTAGGATCTGGAACCAACTTCCAAGGGAAGTGGTGCTTGCTCCTACCCTGGGGGTCTTCAAAAGGAGGCTAGATAATCACCTTGCCGGGGTCGTTTGACCCCAGTATTCTTTCCTGCCCATGGCAGGGGTCAGACTTGATGATCTGCTCAAGTCCCTTTTACCCCTACCAACTATGAAACTATGACATTCTGGTTAACAAGTTAAGGGAATACAGAATAGACAAAAGTACCATAAGGTGTATACATAACTGGTTGGATCATCGTACCCAGTTGGGATGATAGGTTTGAGTACATGCTTAGTAAATTTGTGGACAACACCACACGGAAAACACACGAGTTGCAGATACTCTGGAGGGTAGGGCTAAGATGCAAAATGACCTGGATAGATTGCAAAAATGGTCTGCAATCAATCAAGTAAGATTCAACAAGGACAAGTGTCAAGTCCTGTATTTGTAATACACGCACAAATACAGACTGGGGAATGACTGACTAGGCTGCAGTACTATAGAGAAGGGCCTGGGGGTTACACTGAATATGAGCCAATAAGCTGAATGAGAGCCAATAATGTGCTTATGTTGTGAGAAAAGCCAACAGCATACTGTCACTTGCATAACAAGAGAAGTGATCCTTCCACAATATTCAGCACTGGTGAAGCCTCACTTGGAGTGCTGAGTCCAGTTAATGGGTCAACACTTAAGGAAGGATATGGACAGCTTGGATAGAGTCCAGCAGAGAGCAACACAAATGATTGGGGCCTGGGACATAAGACTCCCAGGATGGGCTGAAAGAACTAGCATTATTTAATGCGGAGAACAAAAGACTGAGGGATAACAGTTTTCAACTACCTGAAGGGTGATTAGAGAGAGGATGGAGATAGACTTTCTCTGTGGCTATGGGGGATGGGACTAGGAACAATGGCTTCAAGCTGCATCAGGAGAAATGTAGCTTGGAGATTAGGGGAAAATTTTGACTATGAGGTTGGTCAAGTATTGGAACACATGATCTAGAGAAAATGTGGAATTTTCATCTTGGGAAGTTTTCAAGAGCAGGTTAGACAGGCACTTGGCTGAGACAGTTTAGTCTAGGATGATCCTGCATTGAGTATAGGGCTAGATTAGATGACTTTGTGAAGTCCCTTCCACCCCTTCTTTCCTATAATACAACGAACTATGATAAAAAAAATAAGCCGCATAGAGTTTTTGATCACTACCTATCTTAGTATTTAGGATTTTAATTTTATTATATCTGTGCAAGTCTACTTACTGCCACTCCAAACAACACTGAACATGCTATTATTCCTTTTAATATATACCGTACATATGTACAACCTCCTGTTTCCCACCCACCCTAAATGTTACTATTCCAAAGACCTACATTCTGCAGCTCCCTCTGTAGAGTTCGGGACTCTGCATGCATGGAGTCACTTTTGGGAGAATATTAAAAACAGAACTGAGAGTAAAAAGACAAAATAAAAAATAGGGACTGAAGGGCTGATGGATACAATGAGCAGTAGAAAGATACTAAGCAAGTAACAAAGAGAGAAAAGCAGACAGAGTACATGGGGTGAAAAATGCAACAACAGAAGTTGAGAGACGAGTAAAAGAAGAGCGAGACATATTTTAAATTGGCCTGGGAAAAGAAGTGACAGTGAGGTAATTACCATATTAATCTAAATTCAAGACAACTTTGAATTTAAGATTCTTGACATGGAAAATTTATAAATTTGTTATAAATTTTTATGTATCGAATCTAATTTTGGAGGATCATCTTATATTTATCCCCCATACTACTCCCACAGGGCAAGCAGTGGTAGGGGGCAGTTAGTAGGAGAATCCTTGCCCTCTGACTGTCTGCCCCACCTCCATGCCTGCCCCATCCTGGTGCCTGAACTCTTTTCCATCTACCTCCCAGCCACTTTCTGCCCTGCTACTCGTCCCCCCTCAGTGTGTGAACCCCTTGTATCTTTCCCTGTGTTATTTGCCCCTCCACTACCTGTCCCACATTTACTGCCCCCACCTGCCCAGCTGTACCTGCACACCCTGTTGCTTGCCTTCAGCACTGCCACCCCCATGTGCCACGCTTTTCTGTCCACCACCGTCACCCCTGCTGCCACTTCTGCATCCTCCCCCCACTACTCTCCTGTCATAGTTCTGGTTCCCACCCCACTCCAGCTCAGGAAAGGGAGTATGGAGCACATACTGCTTCTTGCCCCAATCTGTCCACACAACAGCAGTTTTGGGGGCAGAAGCACCAGCCCTAACCCCAGTCTGACTGCTGGGGCCAGAGCTGCTACCATTGGGACTGTTGCTGTGTGGCCAGGTTGGGGCAGAGGCAGCATGTGCCCCCTGGCCTGGGGCAGAGTTGTGATGGGAAGATAAGTATTAGAGAGAAGGAGGGGGGGAAACAGAGTGGGGGTAGTGGTGGGAGCAAAGTGGTGCAGGGGGCAGCAGCTACTCTGATTCCAACTCCAGGCTCAAGTCAGAGCCACAGCTCCTGTTCCTCCCTCCACTTATATTCAAATCTAAGACAGGGTTTTTTCCTAGCACTTAATTTTTCTGCATCAGATACTCACACCCATATCCCCTTAGCTTCTGTGAGTGTAACTATATTTCTAATACTAAAATCTGAGAACTCAGTGACCGTTACTGTCTGGAATACAACCCTACAAAATGTACACATGGAAGAAAGCTGGACACAGAACTGAAAAGTAGCATTTACACTGTGCCAGTACTCTTAAATGTTAAGAATGCTATGGTGCATTTGAATATCAAGCAATTTTGAGAAGTAATATACAAAAATGGGAAACTATGCCCAATATATATCCTTGTTTACTCATGTGTGAAGGACCAGCCTAACTTGGAGTATCCGTCTGTTACAAATGACAGTCTTTTTCCATCCATCAGTACACATTTATAAAATCCTACACAAAATATATTATCTTCAAAATCTAGGCACAAGCAGGCAATTTTTAACAAATATTGGTCAAAAGTTTCCATGCTAAAAATCTCTCTCCTAATCATCAAGCAATAGGTCAAAAATAATTTTATTCCTTCTTCTTTAGTTCTTACCTTCCAGACTCAAATGTGAACCACGTTGAGTCACGTCCATATCTCCTCAGGGAACTCAGAGGCCACATGACCAGCTTGACCTTGGCATTGTGAATATCCCAGAGATAGATGTTTTCATGTGTGATCTGCATTGTACATTCCCCATAGATATCTAAATTTGGTGTAGGCATAAGATACACGTTGAAACGCTCTAGAAAGGAAAAAGTAAAACAAGAAAGAAACCTGGTGAAAACAAGCATTAGCTTGAAAAACTGTTATAACACTTATTTCAATGGATAGGGAGCGTCCAAAAACGATGGGGCAGATTCTCAGTTGGTCTAAGGCAGCAGAGCTCTACTAAAATCAACATCACTATGGCAATTTACATCAGAGGAGGTTCTTTCCCATGAATTTTACACATAGTACATGTAGCACCACAGTTCATTGAAACCTTATTTTTGTCCACTGATAACTTGCAAGTACTTTCACCTTGGCAGGTTTCACTGTCCTCAATAACTCATGAAACCACTGACCTTCCAGTAAAGGGGAGGATCCTTGCTACAATGTGAATCACACTGGCATAACAACTTGGAGGATCCTTCCCTTATCAAAGCATACAGCAACAGGTGCATTGGCAACCATCTTTGCATCTATTACACTGAAAAGTATGTTTGTGCATATGTTCTAGCTGCCAATTAGAGGATCGTTTCATTCTTATGATTTGCTATATTTGTATAACTAGACGTCCATTTGTCAATAAGGTTCAGTTCATAATTTTTTCTTGCATTTGTCTTGAAAAATATAATTTGCTATATTTTCATTCATAATTTAACAATCTTTACCATATCACCTGTCACTGCTTGATTTAAGCACTTTAACACACTGAACAAGAAGCCAAAAGAAGGGTAACACTTTTTTAAAAGTATCTAGACAAGTTAAGTAAACAAAGAAAGTCACAAGAAGCTTTTGAATGATTAGAAGATAAAAAACACCACTTACAATGGATGGGAACTGCCCATGATGATAGTGCCAAATCAAATAGCAGTTTATTTTTAAGCATGCTACTTTTACTCTGAATGACTTTTAGAGGGGAAAAAAGCCGTCAACTATGAGGCTATATGTATTGGAAAATGTTGGGATATATTTAATTCTGTGGCCTCTCAAATTTCAAGGCAAAATTGCATGATATGGAGCAGAATATATACTTAGATTTACAAAACAGAATTTCCTTTCATTTTTAGATTTAAGACATGCACTTATGTAGGTACTTTGTTACTGCATATAAAGGTGATATTCAAACCCCACCATTAATAAAATAATAAATCAAGATGTGGCATGGAGAATGTTCATTATATAAAAATGTTGTTGAAAATTAAGGCCAATTAGGAAAAAAATGCCTTAAAATATTAAATAAAAGAAAAATGGATTTGTGCAGAATTTTTCTTGGACAATATTTCAGTGTCTCAAAAATGTTAAAGGAATTAAAACTTGTAACGTTCATTTCAAAATGCTATGTAGAGACAGTCATTTATATAAATGGCGACCATGGCAGCTGACTGAGACACCAACTTCATAGTTTCATAGTTTCTAGGATTGGAAGGGACCTGAAGAGATCATCAAATCTGACCCCTGCCCTGGGCAAGAATTAGTGCTGGGATCACAATACCCCAGCCAAATATCTATCCAACCTCTGCTTGAAGACCTGCAAGGTAGGGGAGAGCACCACCTTTTTTGGGAGCCCGTTTCAGAGCCTGGCAGCCCTAACCATAAAGTAATATCTCCTGATATCAAACTTGAACCTGCTCTCAATCAATTTGTGGCTATTATTCCTTGTTATCCCAGGTGGTGCCCGGGGGAACAGAGCCTCACCTATTTTCTGCTGGGACTTGGGAAGTAAGGACAGAATAAAAACACTTTAGCTGCAGCCACATAATTGCACTTATGGTGTGAGGCAGCTGGAAGTGCACTGTCCCTGTGTGGGACACTTAAGTTACGTGTGAAAGCCAGCAACCAAGAGAGTAATTTAGATATTTAAAATCTTTAGTAAATACAATATTGGACAGTTCAGTGAAGTCATAAATGAGAGCCTTAAAATATGCTAAAAATGAAGAAAATTTGGTAGAGAAATTAATGTGACCAATGAACTATCAGATATATAGTGAGATTTGCAGTTCTGCGTAGCTATATGTAAACTTGTCATCCCAATATTATTCTGTCTCAGTCCATTTAGTTTTGCCCCATTAATGCCTCCCTAGTTGATTCACTCAATCTCATAGCCATTCAACCTCTTTTTTTAGACAGTTTCTCATTAATCACACTAATGGGCGTTAGTCCTGTAAGTTGCATTTTATGACTACGATACCAAGTGTGAAACCCCCAATGTTTACTGAAAGCCTTTGGTAGAAAGCACAAATCGTTTAGCATGCAGAATTAAAATCACTGTAGAGAATTTTCCCTTACGGTCACTTGGAAAAAAACCTGGAAAAAAAGGGACACAAGCCACACCAAAGCAGTGAGTGCCACGACAAATGCAGAGATGGGGGAGCAGGCAGCCCAGGGCTCCCCACCATTTCTACCACTGTTACAAGACAATTTTGGTTCTCACCAACATCAGAAGTGGCAACTCTTGGGGGGTGCATGAGGTTGGACGTGAACCCCCTGAGAGCACTGGTGCACCCTCTGATAGCCAGCATTCCTGGGTAGGGGGGGCAGGCGAGACCACTGGTGTCCCCCTTGAGAGCACCAGCTGGGGAGTGGGGGCTCCAGGAGAAGTGATCCCCGCAGTTCCTCTGGGGCCAATCATGCCCACTCAGAAGTGCCAGTGGCACACCACTGCCACTTCTGGGTCAGTGTGATTGGCCGTGGGGGGACCCCTCCACCCGGTCGGTGCGATCTGCTGTGGGGGGACCTCTCTCCCCTTGGTCACTGACTGGCCGCTGGGGGCACCAGTCACCCATGATCAGACAGTACACACAAGCACAGGGTGATGGTGAATGTTTAGCTGGTGTGAAGAGAGGGTGGTGAAGGCTTAATTGATGGACCCGGGAGAGGGATAGGAGATAAGCTAGCAGGATGCTTAGAAGCCATAATGGGGATGGCAACTATAGAAACACGTGGATCCACACAGGAGACTATATTTTGGTGCGTCACTCCCACAATGCACCACACAAAGCATCCAATTGTGGGCTTCCACCGTATCGATCGAATAAGAGTGAATTTACCTTGCATATGATGAATTTTTGGTATAAAAAGGGTCATCGCATAAGAGCGAATTTGTACATACAGAACCTGCATAAAGCAAAGGAAACCTCTACCACTATTTATTCCTAAAGGCACATATAAAATAGAATCTGGTTAATTTAGTTTCCACTGTAAATGTGAAAATAAATTTGAAGATGCAGAGAAAACATCAGCTTGAGTTAAGTTACCAGGATATACACAGAGAATGTGGGTGGGGGCAGGGGGAAACCAGCAATCTACCGTCTTGGAACTGTTTGAGAATATTTTGTTGCATAAGGGCACACAGGAGACCTCACGTACTCAAACTGTCAGGAGACATTTGTCTACTCTCTACTGAAGGTCAGTGGCTAAGGTGAGATGTCATGGATTAAGGGAAAATGTATCTTATTAAACTGAACATCAGCTGCAAGGAAAACAAGTACCACAGGAGCTTTTTCAGGCTGGCAATAAAACAACTTATTCATACGTGAGCTGGAGGAGTGAATGCTGTTGTTTTTTTGTTCTTTTTACATATTTTATATTTTGTTTTGAAACAAAATAAAATTTATGAGTCTGCAGGAAAAAGGAAGTTGTAAGGGAAACAGTGAATACTGTAAAAACCTAAAATATAGGGAAAAATCTGCCACACTACCAGATAATGTTTTTTCAGATGTCTTCACAAAAAGTCAAAGCAAAAAAACTGGTCCTTAGAGGTAAACTCTCTTCCCAACTACATGATGACAGAGCAGCTGTCAATGAAAATGACAATATTTAAAGGTACTGAACTAGGCTTTTTCTTTTTTTTCTTTTTAATGAGCCTTAGACTCACCTTTGCTACAAACTGCCTGAGTAATCTTGAGTAAGTTTCTTAATATCAGTGTAATGTAATAGGAAAATAATACTACTTTGTAGAAATCATTAATGTGACCTAGAAAAGAAGTTCTCAAACTCTGACAGATTGTGCACCACCAATTTAAAATGCTACAACCTTAAGTACCACCAGCAAATTTTTGTCGTATAAAATAATTATAATAAATCTGTTAACAGGTACCACTGACAGGTTGTCTGCATACCAATGGTGGTACCCATACCACAGATTGGGAACCGCTGACCTAGACAAAATGGAGGCAATGCGTGGGGGGGGGGGCATGAGGAGGCACGTGCCCCCCCGAGATTGGCTCTCACTGACTGGGGAGTAGTGGTGCCAAGAGAAGCACCAGCAGCACTTCTGGTATTGCCACCAGCACTTCCGGGATTGGTGACTCACCTCTGGGGGACCCCCCCTGCCCTGGTCAGCGCTTGGCCGCTGATACCCCCACAGACTCAGGAGGCACCAGTCACCCATGGCCCCCTGCTGAGAAATTTTAGGTGGCCACAAGATCATCTCTTAGCCTTCTCTTGCGGAGGCTGAAGAAATCCAGGTCCCTCAAGCTCTCCTTGTAGGGATTTGCCTGCAGGCCCCTACCCATACAATTGGCTCTCCTCTCGACCCTCTTGAGGTTGTCCACATCCCTCTTGAAGTATGGTACCCAAAACTGGACACAGTACTCCAACTACAGCTTGACCAGAGCTGCATAGAGGGGAAGTATTACTTCCCTGGACCTGTTCATCATGCACCTGGTAATGCATGATAAAGTGCAGTTAGCTTTACTGATCACTTCATCACATTGATGACTCATGTTCATCTTGGTATCAACAATGACCCTGAGATCCCTTTCCACTAGTGTGCTGCTGAGAAGGTCCCTCCCCAGCCTTTAAGTGTGTTGGCGATTCCTTCTCCCTAGGTGCAGCACTTTGCACTTCTCTTTGTTGAACTGCATCCTCTTTCATTCTGCCCATTTTTCATTCTGTCCATTTCTCCTGCCTGGATTCATTCCCTATCCTCCAGTGTGTTAACTTTAGCCCATAATTTGTTATCATCTGTGAATTTGGACAGAGTGCTCTCCATGCCCACATCTAAGTCACTGATGAAGACATTGAACAGCACAGGTC